CCATTCCTGCTGCAGGGGAGAAGAGAAGCTGCTCTTCAGGTCCTGCCTGTTGCCAGCTGTTCACCCAGCAGTGCATTCCCAGTGAGGAACTCAGCCTGTCCTGGTTTGTACTGGGACCCCAAAGCGAGGGTCACCAGCCAAGGGTGCCCTGACCTCGACCCTGTGCAGCTGGAAATCGCCAGTGGCACCCACGGTGATCCAGCACGAGCTGAGCCTGGATGGACACAAATCCCTGGACACAAATCCCTGCCCTGAGCCAGGATAGCTCATCCAGAGGGAGACGCAAAACGCCCGGAGCAAAAGCTGCACCGTGCTGTGACAGAGCATCACCTCCCACCAGAGCCCCCCCTGCTCAAGATCCAGGAGTTTTCCAGCTCTCGGCTCCAGCCACGCACACGGGACAAATCCCAGTTCCCTCGGGGCTGGAAAACACCACCCAAGAGCGGTCAGGGGACAGGGGGTGATGGCAGCAGGGAGTGATGGCAGATGGGAGGGAGCTGAAGGCCACCATGTCCCATCAGGTGGGGACATTGACCCCGTCCCACGCGGACGAGCTCCCGTGAGAGCCGAAAAAGAGGAACTGGAACTCTGTGTCGCAACATCCCAGAGCTGAATCAGGGCTGGAAAAGTGCTGATGTGCCGGCTTGTGGGGCTGCTACGGGGAAAGGAGAAGCCCCAAAAAGCCCTGACGTGTGAAGCGGGCAGGGATGTGCCAATCCCCCTGTGGAACTGGGCAGGAGGCTTCTGACAGGCTCCCCCGTGTCCCAGGGATGGGCTGGGAGCATTCCCAGGTGGGATATTCCACACTTGTGGCACCTGTGGAGGTCCCCAGCAGGGTGCAGAGGAGCGGTGCCCCAGGAGAGTGGGAAATGCAGCCCAAAGTTATAAAAACCATGAGAAACACGGAGCCAGCTGGGGAGCGGCACAGCTTGGATCTGCCCCATCGCTCTGCCACTACGTCCTGTCCCACCTGCTCCTGCAGTAACACCCCCAGTGCTCCCAGTAAAACCTCCCAGTGCTCCCAGTAACACCTCCAGTGCTCCCAGTAACACTCCCAGCGCTCCCAGTATCCCCTCGCGGTGACCTTTCCCGATACCTCGTGCGGTGCCAGCGCTGTCCCGCTGCTCCGCGTTGGGCACGACGAGCTCGGGGTGCCCTGGGTGCCAGCGGGATCCCATTCCCAGGCGGATCCCGGCTCTCCGGGACCAGGCACAGGCACGGTGCCGCTCCCCGCCGGTTTTAAGGGAGCGGGGAGGGAGCTGCATCCATCACCAAGGTTTTCTTGGCAGCGAGATGCTCGGCGAGCAACAGCTGGGAGAGGGTGTGACTCCGGGAGCTGGGAACGCTGGCCTGGATCACAACCCAGCGTGAGGAAGCAACAAGCTGCTTCCCAAGGGGCCTCCTTTCCTGTGCCGCCCCCCGGCCCGGAGCACTCCGAGCCACCGAGGGATAACGGAGCCCAGAGCGCTCCGCAGGGATGCTGCTCCAGCCGGGAGCACAAGGAGAGGCAGGTGGCTGCCAGCTCCCCTCGCTCTGCTGTCCCCACCCTGGGTCAACCGCTGTCCTCTGCTCCCCCCCACCGCCCCCAACTCCTTCCAAGACGTTGAGTCACTTCCCCTCAGGCAAATCTGGCTCCCAAACGCAGCTCCTGCTGCTCAGGGGCTGCTTTTCCCGATGGATTTCATTACCACCAGGATGCTGCAGCAGCTTCCAGGCGGCCCCCCAGCCCGCAGAGGCTCTGTGGTGGCAGCTCTGTCACCCTCAGCCCCTTTAACACCTGCAGGAAAGGTTCTTTGGGGGCCACAGAGGGGTTGGGAGAGGCTCCAGGGACCCCCAGGTAGGAGGGATGGGAAAGGCTGGGTTCAGGGATGGGGATCAGGGGGGATGAACAAGAGGTTTTAGGGGCAGCCCCCCAGTTTGGGAGCACTAAGCAGCCCCCACCCACGCGGAGCAGGAGGTTTGGATAACCCCAGGCTTGATGTGGCACCGGGAAAATTCCTTCCCTCCCCACGCAGCTCCCGCGCTCCCAAGCCTCAGCCATCCAAGTCCCAGCATCCATCCCAGCAGGGTAACAGCCAGTGCAGGGGCTGGGAGCAAAGGCAGCACAAAGAAACACAAGGAAATTCGGCAGTGATGCTCCCTCACCCTCCTCTAGCCCTGAAAAGGAGCAGGATTTGCCCCACTGGGACACCCCAGCACCAGAAACACCTCCCTGGTCTTGCCACCAGTCACTCCAACCATCTCCCCAGCAGAAAGGAAGTTCATCTACCACAGGAGATTAATTAAGGTTAATTAATTACCCTCAGCTGTAAAGACAGGGCAAAACACATCCTGAATCCGGCCAGCAAGGGAGAAAACCAACCACAAACTGATGGGATTTCCTTTTCTATGTCTGGAGCCAGAAGGTGCCACTGAGAGATGCTCAGCCCAGGCAGCTCCCGGTGGCACCAGCTGCGACCTGAGGGCTTCCCAAAACCACCCCAGGGCCTGGTGGGGCTGGGAATGCTCAGCCACGGATGCTCCTGCACGTGGCCTTGCCAAGAGCTGACCTCGAGCCATTGTGCTGGAGCAGTGACCAAAATCCCAGCCCTCCGAGGGCTCCAGAGCCGAGACCTGGCACAATCCCGGTGTTCCCAGCAAGGCTGAGCTCTGCAGCCCCACAGAACCGACCCATCCCTTGGCACTGCCTCCTTCCCCCGGCACCTGCCACACGCCCATGGCCGGGCAGGATGCAGGATCCCGGTCTCACACTGATCCTTGTGTTTAGAAAGATGGAAACACGCTGACTTGGGATGTCATTTCCCATCCCGAGCGTTTGTGGGTTGGGGTTTCCCTCCGGGACACTCGGCATCGGCTGCTCAGCAAAGCCCTGCCGGCAGCAGCGCCTGCGGAAGGACAAATCCCTGCTCCCAGGGCTGGGGATGGAGCAGGATCCGTGCAGGAGCAGCCGTCGGGAACGGCAATTCCAGGCGCAGCCTTTGGCAGTTGTCGTGTCCTTGGCAAGCGCCGAGTGCCACCCACACCGAGCAAAGCAATTAAAGCTGGAAATTGATTTGGGCTGATTAAACGCCCTGGAGCAGCTCCCGGCCGAGCTGGGATGCAGGGATGGGGCAGGGATACGGGGATGGAGCCAGGATGAGAGGATGGAGTCGGGATGAGAGGATGGAGCTGGGATATGGGGATGGGGCAGGGATGAGAGGATGGAGCTGGGATGGGAGGATGGGGATGGGGCAGGGATGAGAGGATGGAGCTGGGATGAGAGGATGGAGCTGGGATGGGAGGATGGGGCTGGGATGAGAGGATGGAGCCAGGATACGGGGATGGGGCTGGGATGGGAGGATGGGGCTGCGATGTGGGAATGGGGCTGGGATGCGCGGCTGGAGCCCGGCAGGTCCGACCCCTCCGGCTCTCGCCCTGCTTCCCTCCCACACAGGCGCTGGGAACCCGCCTGACTCATCCCGAAACAGATGTCACAGTCAATGGGGAAGAAATTGGAGGAAGTTTTCCCTCTCCCCGGGGTAGCTTTCTCCAGCATCCAGCAGCGCTTTCCCTCGCCCTGGGCAGAGCCATGGGGATTAATGGGAATGGCTGGAAAAGGAGCTGGGCTCAGCTAAGCAGGAAAGAGGCTCCCACTGCATTTCCCAGCTCCAAATCCTGGGTTTTAGAGCTGGGTTTATGCCCATGGATAACTCTGCCCTGCCTTTCCCACAAGGAGCTCATCCCTGGCTCCTGGCTCCACACCCACTGTGGTCCCGAGCTCCGGATCCCGTCACTGCCTCCCGATCCAAGTGCAAACTCCCTGCACAAATAAAGAAGCCACAGACAGGATGTTCAGGAGACAGCTCCCGTTCCCTTTTTTCGCTGATTTGATACAACCACGGAAAAAAAAGAAACCCAGTCCCAACCTTGTGCAACTCGAGCTTATAAATAACCCCAGAAACACGACAGGGCTGGGACAGGGTGGCCAAACCCTGCTGGGCTCCTAAGGCTGGCACCATATCCCGCTGCATCGCACCCCTGGGATGGGCAGCTCAGGGATCTGCACATGGTTCAGCCCCCAGACACCCTCACAGAGCCCCTGTTTGCCTCCAATCTTGTGCCATTTCCCCCGTTTTCCCATGCTTCTCTCAGAGCTCTGCCAGGGGCTGGATCCCAGCGATGCACACCCACGAGCCAGGGGACAATTCCAAGTGCTCGGCTCCCAAACCCCACCCTTGGCAGAGGAGGATCGATGGGAACATTCCCAGGGCACAGCTGGGCCCTGTTCCATGGATTTCCCCATCCGTGGCATCACCCACCCGCTCCCATCCCCACCCCGCAGTGACAGCTGCCCCCGGCAGTGATGGAAGCTCCACGTCGGGAGATTTATCCATGATTTCCAATTCCTGCTGCAGCTGTCAAAGGCCACTGACAGCTCCTGGAGCAGGGATGAGGAATTGCCAGGCATGGACACTTTGTTCTTGCCTTGGAGCCCCTCAGCAGGTGACAGGTGGGATGGCATCTGCCCAGGGATTTATGAGCAGAGGTGGCACCAAATCCTGGAATGGTTTGGTTTGGAAAAACCTTAAACTCATTCCATTACCTGCCATGGACAGGGACACCTTCCACAGACCAGGCTGCTCCAAGGCCTGTCCAACCTGGCCTTGGAATAAGAAATTCCATTAATAAACTGCCTCCAGAGCTCCAGCTTTGGATGCTGAGCATCCCACAGGAAAACGGGAGATGCTGACAGGTTTCAATTCCGTGCGCTGGGATCTGCTGGAGCTGAATTCAGGCTCGTCTTTCACCCTGAACTCCTTCAGCATCATCCTAAAATCCTCTGGCTGTGCTTTTCCTGCTCCAAATTCTTCAAGGCACCAGCTGGATTTGTCTTAATAACAAGGACTTTATAACAACAGATTCCTCCAAATTCCCAAACATCCATAAGGAAACCTCCTTTATTTATATTTTTTTTAATTAATAAACACAGTTCTCCTTGCAATCAACACCTGGGAACTCACCATTCCATGGAGCAGAGCTTTGCAGGGACACGGATTTTTGAAGGTGATTTCAATGGCTCCATCCTGCTTCCCATCACTGGGATGGGCACAGGACTGCCCAGCTCTGGGCTGGGAAGCAGCTCCTTGCGGGAAGGTTCAGCATTCCTGCCAGCTCTGAGCAATCCATGCCTTTTTCGGGGTTTTTTTGGCTTGGGGGGGATGGCCTTGGTGCAGGTTCACTAGGCTCCGATTGCCCTGGAATTTGTAAAAATAACAGAAAAATATGTTTTATTCCTGAGCCTTTGCCAGGCTGGGATTATTTCTGGGATGAGGGAGTTGCCCGGTGGTGCCAGGGAGATGTGGGGGTCCCTCGCAGCATCTTCCTTGGATGGATCTGGATCATTGATCCCAATACCCAGAGCTCAGCCCCGTGCTGGATACAAACCCTTTCCCACACAGGAGCCCAGCCCCAAAATCCAGCTGTTATCTAAGAATTATTTAAATAGATCCAGAAATGTAGGAATCTATCCAGAGGGTGCTGTTGATGGAAGCCAGATCCAGGATTTACCTTGGAAAGCAAAACCAGCAGAGCCCAAAGGGAGGGAAAGCTGTGCCGTGGAGCACAGGGAACATTCCGTGTCACGTTTTATGGGATTAATGCTCCAGGTCGGATGGAAAGGCTTTAACCTAAGGATTCAATTAAGGTTCCTCACAGCCTGATTTAACCTGGGTGGGATTGGGGGATCCATAAAACTGCACAGCAGGGAGAGGCAGGAGCATCCCTGTCCGTGAAGGATTTGGGGAAAGCTGGGATTGGGACAGGATGGCTGCAAGGATCCCAGCACTCCCAGAGCACCAGCACGATAAAATCATGGATTTTTAATTCCAGGGGGAAATAATAACCTCAGCTTTGTTCCCAGGAGTGCAGCTCACCTGTGGATGGGATCCAGGTGGGCACTCCAGGGCCAGGGCTGGCACACAACACATCCCTCAGGAGCAGCTGGACATCACTGGAGTTTATCCAGGAGTGATGGATGCACCAGTTCCCAACCACACTGGTGACACCGTGGGGATATTCCACCACCCAATTCCTGGCTGGAATTGGGAGGAGCTCAGAATTCCTCTCCTCCAGCCCCATGAGAGAAAACCCAGCTCTGACTTTACTCTCTGTTCATTTTCCCTCCAAGAGGGTTTGTTATCCTTTGGAAGATCCCAGTCCTGCCTGGACATGTAAAATCTCCATAAATTCCAGAGGTGATTCACTAAAATCTCCATAAATTCCAGAGGTGATTCACTGCTCCCATCTGGGACTGGCACAGTCCCTCACTCCTGCCACTTCTGTCCCTGTTTAAAGCTGTGCCACAATTAATGTTCACTTGCAGAGGCATCTGCCAGGTGGGAAATCTCCAGGTTTATTGTCAGAGATTAATTTATGATAAATGAATTCCAAGACAGAGCGGGAAAACCCCTGGCATGGGTGAGGATGGAGCCTCCAGCAGGGATTGGCAGCTCCAGCATTTACCATTTTCCTCCAATCCTTGTTTCACGTAAGACATGCAAAAATTCCTGACTTTTATTCCCTGAACAATGCAGAGGGAATCGCTGTTATCCATGGCCTGGAGCAGGTGCAGGAAGTCCCTAGCACTGTTCCTGGCTGATGGAGAATGGATCATCCAGCTCCTACCATCCAGCTGCTACCAGAAGGATCCAGACACTGGGAATACCTTGTAAATCAATAGGGATAAATGGAAAATTTAACAGGATTCACATAATTCACCCACTCTCCCTGAAGATTTTTTGGGAAAAAACAGGTTGGGAGAAGGGAATTTGGGGTACCCTGGCTGGATGTGGCTTCCCTGGCACATCTGGCTGGGGAGAGGATGCCTGAGGAATTAATTCTGTGTGGAGATCACTGGAATGTCAGGAGATCTTTGATTTATCCCCGGCCTTCAAGTGCAGGAATTAATTCTGGCCACGGAATTCCAGCTGCTTCCAACTCCAGCAGAAGCTGCCTTCAAGGAGCTGCAATTCCCAAGGGAAAGCTGAAGCATTTCCCAGGATATCCCACCTGGAATGTGGATGCACCAGGGTATCCATCACCCTCAGCCTGGCGTCTTCCCAAACTGGCAAATCCACGGCACTGCCGGCGAGGAGCTCCGGCAAAACAATTCCCCTGCGGAAAACAGGGATCTAATGGGATTCAGGGGAAGAGGAATGAGAGGCTGGATGTAAGCAGACCCAATTAGTGGATGGATCAATTAAGAGAGAGGTGATGGGATATTGGAGATTCCCAAATCCTGGGTGCGGGAGCTCCATGCTCGGAGGGCCCCGCGCGCTCGTATCCCGTCCTCGCTCCTAGAAAATTCCACCATGAAGGATTTAAACGAGTCATTTATCAATTAAATGTGTGCTCTGGCAAATTAAAATCTGTCCTCTTGTTTAATTAATAGGGCAGTTTTATATTCGGACAAATTAGGGAGCCTCTTGATGAGCTAATTTGTTAATTAATGGAAGCCTGGAGGCTCTTCCTTCATTAGATGTTGGCACATCCTTGAATCCAAAGTGCAGCTCCTCCTTCAGGACCCCTGGGCTCAAGCTGGGAAGGGCCCTGGCAGTGGATTTGCCATGGGAGAGCTCTTGGCATGGCTCCTGGCATTCCCAGGATTTATGGCAGCAGTGCATTCCCCTTCCCTTTGGGAAAATTTATGTCCCTTGCCAAGGAAAAGCGCGAGATCCTGTTGCCAAATGGAGCCCAGAGCTCCTCCAGGATGGAAAGAGGGAAAGAAATTGATAAAAAATGGGAAGAAAGCTCCTGGCCCTGTCCAGAGATCTGTGTTGGGTGGGAATTGGCGCCATGGGTGGAGGGTCAAGAGCTCATCCCGGCAGATCCGAGGATTCCTGGGTGTCTCCAACACCCGGATCACTCCCACAGGGAAAATGAATCCCCCGGGTATATCCAGGCTCATGGATCAGCCCTTTCTCCCATCCCAGATGGCCACAGCCACTCCCAGCAGCCCCCTCCCAGTGCTCCCAGTACAAACCAGTACCAGGATGGTGCTGGGGCTGGGTGGGCTCCGTGAGCTGCTCCAAATGATGCCATGGAAAGAGGGATCACGGCAATCCCAGGACAGGGATCCCAAAAGGGGCGCTGGAGCCATCCCCAGCGAGAGCAGGACCAGTAACACCAGTAAGAGCAGCCTGGTGGGGCACACCCACACTGACCAGGGATAAGATCCTGCTGCAAATCCCATTCCACGTTAGAAACCGGGAATATGGATTCCCGAGCTGGCACTAAGGACCGTTCCCCTCCAAACCAGAATCCCATGGAGCAGCTCCCTCGTTTATTTTTAGCCACCAGCGTCTGCTGCATTCACCAGTTATCAAATAAATATGGGAAACCAGGAGAGGCACCCAGAGACTCCCTTATCTCTGTTTTCCATGGACTGGCAGTTCCTGGGATGTGTTTACACTCAGCCTTTAAAAAGCAACCCCAGGTTCACTTTCTACCACAGGAGTTTGCCAAGTTTCCAGCTTTCCCTGGATCTTATCCCACCCAGGCAGGTCCTGGAGAGAGGGCACAGCTTGCTCAGACCCCAGAGATGCAATAAAAAAATCACAGTGAAAGGCAAATTCCTGATGGATTTTCCACAAACTTGGCCAAAAAAATAATGTTGGTGTCAAAGCTGCCTTTTATTTGGGTGCCTTTTCCAGGAGGACACCGATGGTTTGTGCTCTGGCTCTGAATCCCGGTCCATTCTCCAGGAATGCCAGGCACGGGGAACTCAGATGATGCTGGGACACCTCTCTAATTCCTGCTGGAATGTGACCCTCAAACACCTTTCCCAAGGCTGATGCACCTCCTATTCCTGCCCTGTGCATCCACAGCCTCCCTGCTGACACAAGGGATGCATCCCCACCCTCTGCCTCTGATTCCAAACACATTTGGTGCTCAAATCCTTCAGAGAAATCTCAATTTCAACACCTCCAAGAGTCTCTCTCTTCCCTCCCCACAAGAAAAAGCAGTTCCAGAGCTGGGTCTTTATCCCATTTCAGCAGCAGGTTGTGCTGGAAGTGGAAGAGAGGAGCAGATGCTTTTCCCTCCTGTTTTTTCCCAATGTGTTTCTCCTTCCACAGCCTAACACACCTAAACAGAGGAGGGGGGAAAAGCCCCTTGGAATAATATTTACAAGCTGATTAGGCAGAGAATTGATTTGAACATCACTGGGATAGCAGAAAAATGCCAGCTGAGCTGGGAAGACTCGGGCAGGATTTCCATGGAAATTAAAATTGCCACAGGCTGCTGGAGGCAGGAGCTGGAGCCATTCCCTGGGAGGTCTGAGCCCCTTCCCACCCCCAGCAGCCTCCTGGAATCATTTCATTTATCTCCAGTTTGTGAGAGGTGAAGGAAAAGGAATCTTCCTTCCCAAGAGGAGAACAGGATTTGAATCCCTCTGCCCTGGGATTATAGAGAAATCCAAGATATGCTGGAAAGAAACACCAAATCCTTTTGATTCCTCTTCAGCAGCACTGCCTCACCCAAATCCCAGCCAAAATTCCAGTTCCTATATCCCAACAGATTTCACACCAAGGAAACACAACTTCCCAGCTTTGCTCCTGCCTTTCCAGACCTCAGCCCTGCACTTCCAAGGCTCCCAGGAGCAGGGATGGAGGCACCCCTGGAGCAGATCTCTCCTGATTTATCTGTGCCATTATCCCAGCTATCCATCAGCCAGCAGCTCGTGTTTGGAGCACTGCTCCCCTGTCTCTCAGGAATTATGGATCCACCCAGCGAAGGCACAGGGAAATAACTGTTTGTTTGCTGGCTCAGGCCTCTGAAATCGCAGGAGAAAGTGAGATTTCTCTTGCTTGCTTTAGATCCTGGGGTTTCCCCCTCTCTGCTGGGTTTATTTCCAAATTCCCACTGCTCCTGTTCAGCTGCCAAAAGCAAGCAGGGAACTGCCAGTGGCATTCCTTCAGGGAAGGGACAGGGAGCCTGGCACTGCCCCCTCCCAGTGCTCAGGGAGAGTCACACCCAGCTCCTGCCCCAGCTCAGCCTCTTCCTGTCCAAAGCAAATCCCAGCTGAGGGAATGTAACATTCCAGCTCCAAAGAAATTAAATCCAGCCTTAAAAAGGGAAATTTTCCCCAACTCCGAGTTTTTGCAGAGTGCTGGAGGCACCTGATAACCATGGAGTTCCACAAACAGGGGCTGTTCCCTGCTGACAGGGGGAGAGGGGAGGTTTTAATTTGGAGGAATTTCAAAGGATCCATTATATCCAGCAGCACGCAGGACAATGAACAGAGCACCCTGGAAAGCTGGGAATGACACAGGCTCTGCCTCCATATTTCCAGGGGGGCTCTCTGAGCTCTGCTGAACAGCACAGGTTTGCAAATCCATTTCTTCCATTTGCAAATCCATTTCTTCCATTTGCAAATCCATTTCTTCCAACTCCTGCCCTGTTCCCGGGTGTACGTGCTGAGGAAAGAGTGGTGCAGAATTCCAAGGCCAGATCTCCTCAGTGTCACAAGAGGGGCTTTATGATTCCTAAAGGATCATCCACCTGCTTTACTTCCCATTTATCACAATCAGCACATGCCAGGAGTCATTTGCATATCCCAGGCTCCGGGAGCCTTTGGAAACTTAGGTCCATGGAGAGGCAAAATGTGAGTGGCAGGTTTCTGAGGCCTCTGCTCCAGAGCTCCTGTTTCTCTTCCTGGGATTTAGGAGCATAAATAGCTCTTGAATTTCAGGAATATTCCTGTTTTCAAATCCAGCTCGGGGCGTCCTGGTTGAGCAGAGCCCCTCCCAGGTTGCCCACACTGTCTGAAATGTTGGAATTCAGCCCAGGATCAGGACAGGAGACCTCCAGCAGCTCCCCAGCACCTCTGCCAGGACACAGCTGCGTCCCCAGCATCCCTGCACTGCCGTTGCCATGGTGACCGAGCATCATCCCATCTCCTGCCACCTTTATGGACAAATGTCCCTCCATAGGGCTGTCCCCAGAGCATTCCCAGATGGCCTCTCCTCAGCCTCATCCTACACCCAGGACATTCCACAGGACATCCTGGTCCCCCAGGACAGGGACTGCTGCCCACCAGGAATTTCCTGCTGGCTCCAGCTTGGAGCTGATCATCATGGAAAAAATAAAAAACAAACCCAGGAGGATCCAGTCATTCCCACACCGAAACAGGCGGGGTTTGAGGTGAAATCCAAGCAGGGAAGAGCTTGAGGCCATCCAAGAGGATCCTTGAGCATAGAAAATTTAGGGCCACCACTGTCCCCATCGCTGGTGGCACTGGCAGCACCAGGGAATCCACAAGCAGTGCCACCCCCGGGTGTGCCAAGCTGCTTCCATGCCCTCCCAAATCCCCCTGGGACACCTGCTGAGCTCTGACAGCTGTCAGGACCTAAGCAGGGGGCGAGCTGAGAAGCTTAAAGGAAAAATAGCTCCTTTTGTAATCTGCTCCCACAGCACTCCCACCCTCCTGCCCGTTTTAGCCCTCCTTGTCCTACATCAGAGCCCTGGAGATGGGAGACGGGTGGAATTGGAGCTGTTGGAGGGTTCATCTCACGGGGAGACGCGTGGCTGTGGCAGGAGAAGCGTCCACCCTGATCCCACAGCTCCTCTGGCACCTGGGAAACATCACGGAATAGTGGCATGGTTGGAGTGGGAAGGGACCTTCCAGATGGTCTCATTCCCTGCCAGGGGCAGGGCACCTTCACTACCCCAGCTCGCTCCAGCCTGGCCTGAAGGAAACAACACTGATGTATCTGCCTGATCACATCTTCCAAAACTATGCCAGGGACGTTTATCCCCAGGATCAGCCTCACAGTCACTCTGCAAGCTTTGGGAAGCACAAGCTCTGTGCCTCAGCTGCTGCTACACCCAGGATCCCAGGAATCTCCGAGCACGCAGACCAGGGAATTTTATCCCAGCACAAACAGTTCCAGAAGGAAGCCAGGGCCTTACTCAACCTCCAAATATGTTTTCCAGCATCACTGCTTCCAAAGGCAGAAGGTCCTGGAGAGGGAATGCAGCAGGCTGGGGTGTTTCCATGGAGCAGCGAGATGAGTCAGTGCCATCTGCCGGCTGCAGTGACCCGGCCGCTCCCAAATCCATCGGATTCGCCCTCGGGTAGAGAGGAATAAACCCCAGCCTCACCCTAAAGCTTCCAGGATCCTTCTGGAACACTGCTCCAAGTGCAAATTCCTCTAAGGATCCAGATGGCAACCCTTTGGCACAGCCGTGTAAAGAACTCCCAGGATGTCCCTGAGTTCAGGCTGCAGCTCCGGCATTCCACAGCTCTTCTCCTTCCCACCTTTGGGATCTCCCTTTGCTGTTCCTGACAGAGCCACAGATGGAAATCCTTGAGCTGGCCCGGATCCACACTGAGGAAGAGCTGTGGGAATGCCAAGGACCCGCAGTGTCCCGAGGGATAATGTGCCATCGCCGGCTTCTACATCAGCTTGGTCCATCCTATCAAAGCTGGGATGAGACACCAAGCATTCCTGGTTGTCCCTCTCTGCTGGAGTAGATTTAATTAGGGAATAGATTCTAAGTGTGTTTCTCACCATTTTTAAAGGGAAAACTCATCCCTGCTCCGTAATTATCCCAGAATTAGCTTTAGGTGCCAGATCCCTGGCACTGAGGAAAACGTGTTTGTGTAGAAGTTTCCTCTTGGAGGGAAGAGGGATTTGCTCATCCTTTCAGTGCCTGTTTTCCCCCAAAGTTCTCTGCAGGCATTCCCAGGCTCTGGCAGCTCCTGCTGGCTGGAGGACAGTTCGGAGCTGCAGGGATGGCCTGGGGCTCCGTGTGCTGCAGAGATCCCAGAGCTGATCCCGTCAGCGATGATGGCTGATCCGAGCTCATCCAGCTGCTTTTGTCAATTACAGAACAAATCAATGAACATCTGAGGCAACAGCAGCTCCGAGACAGCGGATCCTGCTTTTCCTGCTGAAAACAAGCCCAAAAAGGCGGATTGTCTCTGGAAAACTCCATTCCCAGAGGAAGCAGTATGGAGTGAGGGCAGCATGAAGCCAACATGAATTGGGATTCTGGGCACATCTGTGGGGGTCTCCCCTCAGCTTCGTCTGAAATATAGTTTAAATACCCTGAATTCATTTCTGACAAACCACGTTATTTTTCCCTCCTGGTGATGATCTGCACCTGGTAGAAAACCACCTTCTCACCTTGCTAGATACTGATTCTGAGGGCTTTACCTGCAATTCCTTAAAACATTCTCTTTCCCCTCAACTTTTTTCCAATCTCTCCCTATTCCTGGCCTCCAGCAGAGGAGAGAGGCACAGGTGTGGAACACCAAGGCCAAAAATAAAGAGTGTCTTTCCAGAAGGACCACGGATAGGCGACGGGAACTCTGTATCATCAGAAGGAGGTGATTTTCCATGGAAATAGCCATAAATTAAATGCAATGGAATTAAACCCTCCGTGAGGGCCTCCGCGCCCATCGCCTAGCAACAGAACGCCATGCCCATATGTGGCAACTGTACCCGCCCACTCCCAACCTCCGTTTTTATTGGCTGCTCGCCGCATGATTGACGTGCACGCTCGCCAGTGCTCATCCTCCACGAGCCTCTCCCGCGCCCGGGGCGGAAGCGAGTGCAGGAAGGGGAGGGGAGGAGCGCGAGAGACGCGTCCGCTGCGACAGCCAATGGAAGAGGAGCTTGGGAGCGACTCAGCCAATGGCAGCGCGCGGGGGCGNGGAGGCGGCAAAGGTGAGGGGGGAGCCGGGGGGACCCCCAGACAGCAGCGGGGGGACAGGGCAGGGGGACGCGGGGAGCCCCGACCGGGAACCGGGACAAAACCGGAGGGTCTTGGGCAGAGGCGATCTGGGGGGCACCGGGCAGAGAGGAACCGGGGGGACCCGGGGTGCTGGGGGGAATTCCGGCCGGGATTCAGGCTCGAGGAAGGAGCCCTGGGGAGGCTTTTCCCTTCAGCACCAGCAGCTCCAGCCCCTTGGAGGTGACGCTTGGGGGGTTCACAAGCCTGGAGGAGGGTGGCGAGGAGACGGAAAGCTCCGTGATCCCCCGGAGCCGGGCAGAGCCGGGTGCCCACGCTGCTCCTGGGTATCCATGGATGTTCCTGGGCATCCATGGCACCTCCTCCTGCTGCTGCCGCTGCCACAGGAGCGCAGAGCAGATCCCAGCCGGTGCTCGGCGGTGGCAGGGAGGGGGATGCCCGGCACAACCCCCAATAGCCGTGACAAACCCAGAGCACCTTCACCCAAACCCACTCCTACCCACGACACGGAGCTCTGGCTAAAGCTGTGCGTTCCCAGGTGGGTGCAGTGGCACAGGAGATGTTCCAGGTGTCCGTGCTGGAAGCAGGATGAATCTGGTGGCGATGGCGACCGATCCCGAGCTCCAGTGGGTGTCCCTGTGGCTCCGTGTCCGGTGGGCGGCCGTGCTCGTGCTGCTCCTCAGCTCCCTGGTGATGCTGCTGCTGCCGCTGGCCGCTGTGGACAACCAGTGCCACGCTGTGCTCAAGGGCCTGGCCTTCCTCAAGAGCAAGCTGGGCTCCTCGGGAATCAGCAGGCTCACAGGACAGAGCACGGAGCTGAGCGTCACCTCCAAGGGGCTGGAGCTGCTGGTGCTGAAGGGAAAAGCCTCCCCAGGTGAGAGGGTCCTGGGTGGGCACAGATGAGTTCCTCCAGTCAAGGAGCTGCTGGGGAGGGTCCAGCAGAGGCCACAGAGATGATTTGGGGTCTGGAGCATCTCTGTGATGGGCAGAGGCTGCGGGAGCTGGGCCTGGTCAGTCAGGAGAAGGGAAGGCTGAGAGGGAATGTCATCAATCCACACAAACATCTGCAAGGGGTGTCAGAGGATGGTGCCAGGCTCTGGTCAGTGGTGCCCAGTGACAAGGAGCAATAAACTAAAACACAAGATCCACCTCAACATAAGGAGAAACTTCTTTCGGTGAGGGTGGCAGGGCACTGGGACAGCTGCCCAGGGAGACATTCCAAACCCACCTGGACACCTTCCTGCTCCAGGTGACCCTGCCTTGGCAGGGGATTGGAGTGGGTGATTTCTAGAGACCTCTTCCAACCCCAACACCCACCCAGAGATCTTCACCCCTTTTTACTGACCATGTCCTGTACGCCTGATGACAGTGACACTGTACCCTGATGGCAGCCAACTGCAATTAATTGCAATTAACACTGGCTGCAAATGCCCCTGAGGTTAGGCAGGCCCTCACCAACTCCTTGACTGCATTCCAGGGCCCTGTGCTGGCATTGCTCTGTCTCTCCAAAGTTTTTCCTCATGTTTTCAGTACTAGTAACTTCTGTGGAGGTAACTGGAACACAGAGAGATGCTTTAATGCACAGAAATCTGGGCAAGACAGCGTTAATTCCAAAATCCTGGCTGGCACAGAACAGCCTTTCAGGCAAAGTCAGGCTGTGGCCATGGCCTGTATCAGCCAGGACATAAATTTGGAAAACACTTAAAGGAATTATTATGATTCCAGCACTGTATCTTTGTTTGCATTAAAGCTCTTACTGCTGGGAAAATGTTGGATAGTTCAGTGGAAAAACCGAAGTGCTGTTGGCAGCCAACATAATAATGTTAACATTACAATTTCACCTAAAAGAATGCCAAGAGAACGTGTTTAAAACAGTTTCCTCCCACATGAAGCAGTTTGGTCACCTGCAGCCACCTTGAGCCTGCTGCCCACAGGTCCTGCCTGCCCACACTTCCTGCCAGGAATGGCTCTGCTGCCTCACACTCAGCCTGGAAACGTGGCATAAACCTCTGGGATTGTAACCTGGAAAAAGCTGGAACACAAATTCTGTTCCAGTTCCTCAAGACTGGTTTTGTTGAATTTTTGTATCCGTGACCAGTGACAACCATAGAATATCCTGAGTTGGAAGGGAGGCACAAGCATCATGGAATCCAGATTTCCAGAGGTATCCAGTAAAACTCACCACCCTTTATCTGTTATTGTTTCATTCCAGAGGTGAAGTTGGAAGCCAGAGCAGCTCTGAATCAAGCTCTGGAGATGAAGCGCCAAGGGAAGCGGGAGAAGGCCCACAAACTCTTCCTGTACGCCCTCAAAATGGACCCGGATTACGTGGATGCCCTGAATGAGTTTGGGATCTTTTCTGAGGAGGAAAAAGACATCCTCCAGGCCGACTACCTGTACTCCAAAGCTCTGACCATCTCCCCCCACAACGAGAAGGCTCTGAGCAACCGGGGCCGGACACTGCCCTTGGTGGAGGAGATTGACCAGAGGTATTTCAGCATCATCGACAGCAAGGTCAAGAAGGTGATGGCCATTCCCAAAGGGAATTCCGCCCTGCGCCGGGTGATGGAGGAATCCTACTACCACCACATCTACCACACGGTGGCCATCGAGGGGAACACGCTGACGCTCTCCGAGATCCGGCACATCATCGAGACCAGGTACGCCGTTCCCGGGAAGAGCCTGGCGGAGCAGAACGAGGTGATCGGGATGCACGCGGCCCTCAAGTTCGTCAACACCACGCTGGTGTCGCGCATCGGCTCCGTCACCAGCAGGGACATCCTGGACATCCACCGGCGCGTGCTGGGCTACGCCGACCCCGTGGAGGCCGGGCGGTTCCGCGCCACGCAGGTCTTCGTGGGCCACCACATCCCGCCCCACCCGCAGGACGTGGAGAAGCAGATGGAGGAGTTCGTGCAGTGGATGAACTCGGAGGACGCCATGAGCCTGCACCCCGTGGAGTTTGCGGCGCTGGCGCACTACAAGCTGGTTTACATCCACCCCTTCGTGGACGGCAACGGCCGCACCTCGCGGCTGCTGATGAACCTGATCCTGATGCAGGCGGGGTACCCGCCCATCACCATCCGCAAGGAGCAGCGGGCAGAGTACTACCACGTGCTGGAGGTGGCCAACGAGGGCGACGTGCGGCCCTTCATCCGCTTCATCGCCAAGTGCACCGAGACCACGCTGGACATGCTGCTCATCGCCACCACCGAGTACTCCGTGGGCCTGCCCGAGGCGGGAGGTGCTGCTGGCTGCAAACAAACCATCCCTGTCAAGACTTGAGGGTTTGGGGCAATCTCAGGAGCTGGTGAAGCTGTGGGAAAGCAGAATTCCAAGCTGCTCAGTGTTCCTGCTGGGAAATGACTGGACAGGAGGTGTCGCTTGAGCGTTTCCTTTATTTAAAGTGTCTTACATTTTATTAAATTAATATAATTTATTTATATACGTGATGCCAAAAGGAACTGGGGATGGAGGCTGTGCACTGGAAGGAGGTGGGGAGAGATGTCAGAGGGCTCAAAAAAGATGAACTAAAATTGAATTGCTCCTTCAAATTAAGCTTTGAGGAGCTGCTTCAATCACAGCCCTTCACCCAAGGCAGTCAACTCTACTGCCTGACCTCAGCAAAGTCTAAACTGAGCTGGTTTTGTGTTGCCTCTTCCCTGTAGCTCCAAAACGCATTCCTGAAGGAACAGCACTCTCCCAGCTGTGTCCATCAGACACTGTGGTGTCAGTCACACAGGTACTGAGCCGAAAGGAGGCTGAACTCCAGCCCAAAGGCATCTCTCCCCTCCCATTTCTGTGTCTGTGGCACTTTGCATGTTTACTTTCAGCTGCCTTTCCTGGGGTGAGTTTTGTACGAGTGGGAAGTGTTTGGGATTACAGGTGATAGGAGTGGATCAAGAGGAGCAAAACTGACTTACTTGAGGGAGAAGGACTCAGGAAACACCTCAGCCAACAGGAGCCCTAGGAAAGCACAACTGTCCTTAGACATTTCAGTGGAAGGAGCTTGTCCTCAGAACTGTGAGTAGAAAAAGTCATCAGGCAGAGCCAGGAGACACCAGCTGTGCCAATTTGGGAAGAATTTGTACAGGAAGTTTGCCAAAATCTTCAGTTTTTAAAGTCTAGGTAAGGGAACTTTCACAATTCATCACTGGTCATGTCACTGATAAACGTGTCAAGAATCACTCGAGGCCTCTGTGTGCTGCAGGGGCAAGTGCAGTGCCTGGAGCTGCTGAGCAGTTCAAAGAATCACTTTTCCCCTTTTAAGGTAAAAAAGTACCCACAGATCTCCCTACCCCCCCAAACCTGCCAGGTGTGTAACAGCATCATTGATCCCACCACCTCCAAGCTCACAAAACTTCCATTTAAAATCCCAGCTCAGAGCATTTAACCCCTTGACAAAAGCTGCCAGGCTGTCCCAGGCTTAGTTTTCTTCCCTTTTAACTCACTCTTACCTGACAGGGAGTTTAGGACATGTTTTAGAGAAGCAGAAACCAGGATGAGACTGGGAGTTCTCTGCTGCCAGGGAAAGCAGACAATACAGGAGGAAAGCTGTCCTGTCCTTACAAAGCATGTTATTTTTGTAGTGCAACCTGAGTATAAATAATGCACTTTAGAGCTCTGCGGGGTGGGGAAAAAAAAAAAGTTATTTTAGTAACAGATTAATAAACTATTTTAATATGAAAGTCTTGGTTTGGAAGAGGCTGTTCTCAGAGCACACTTGGCTGCA